GGAAAAGTTAATAGACTATAGGGTAACCCCAAAGAAAGTTAATACTTCATAACTTATCATGAAAATGCAGATCCAAGCAGAACAAGGAAACATGAAAACGAAGAAGAAACTGACAAGAAATAGCACAAAAAACACAAACTCAGCACAGGAAGGCAGGCAGAACAAAGGAACAAGCAGCACCACAAAAAATGAACATAATGACAGCAATTAATTCATACCTATCAATAATTACACTGAATCTCAATGGATTAAATGCACCAGTAAAGAGATGGAGAGTGGCAGAATGGATAAAATTAGACTTATATTGTCTATATTGATTCGATGGCAGTCTTCCATGCCACTTTGGCAAACACCATAATGACAGGGGCCCAGTCTTGTTTATCACAGTGTCCCCAGAATCTAGCATTTTCAGTGCCCCATAATGTTGCGGTTAGGTGCCATCAAGTTGGTACTGACTCATAGTGATCCTATGCACAACAGAATGAAACACTGCCTGGTCCTGCACCAACCCCACAATCATTGCTAAGATGCTGCCACCATGACAATCCATCTCCTTGGGGGTCTTCCTCTTTTTCCCAAACCTTCCACTTTACCAAACAGGATATCCTTCTCCAGGGACTGGTTTCTCTTGATTGTATGTCCAAAGCATGAGAGACAAAGTCTGTCTATCCTGGTTTCCAAGGAACATCCGGCTGTACTTCTTCCAACACAGATTGGTTTATTCTTTTTGCAGTCTATGGTAATCTCAATATACTCCTCCAAAACCACAACTCAAATGCATCAATTCTTCTTCAGTCTTCTTTATTCACTGTTCAATTTTCACATGCATATGAGGTTACTGAAAATATCATGGCTTGAGTCAGGTGCAACTTAGTCCTCAGACTGACATCATTGGTCTTCAACACTTTTAAGAAGTCTTGTGCAGCAGATTTGCCTAATGCAATACGTTGTTTAATTTCTTGACTGCTACTTCCATGAGTGTTGACAGTTGATTCAAGCAAAATGAAGTCTTTGACAGCTTCAGTCTTTTCTCAATTTGTATAGATGTTGTTTATTGATCCAGTGGTGAGGATTTTTGTTTTCTTTACATTGAGGTGTAATCTATACAGAAGGCTGTCGTCTTTGATCTTCAGCAGTAAGTATTTTAAGTCCTCATCACTTACAGCAAGCAAGGTTGAATCATCTGCATATTGCAGGATGTTAGTGAATTTTCCTCCAATCCTGATGCTATGTTTTTCTTCATATAATCCTGTTTGTCGGATTACTTGCTCAGCATTGTTGTCATTAGGTGCTCTTGAGTCAAGTACCAACTCATAGTGACCCTGTGCACAACAGAATGAAACACTGCCCAATCCTGGGCCAACCTTATAATCCTTGCTATGTTTGAGCCCATTGATGCTGCCACTGTGCCAACCCATCTCGTTGGGGCTCTTCTTTTTCTCTGACCCTCCACTTTGCTAAACATGATCTCCTTCTCTAGTAACTAGTCCCTCCTGACAATTTTTTTTTTTCTCAGCATACAGTCTGTGTAAGTATGGTGAAATAATACAACCCTGGGGTGTATCTTTCCTAAATTGAAACCATTAAGTGTTCCCGTGTTCTGCTGAAACAAGTGCCTCTTGGTCTCTGTACAGATTCCTGATGAGCACAATTAAGTGTTCTAGAATACTCAGTCTCTGAAATGTTGTCCATAACTTGTCATGATTCACACAATCAAAAGCTTTTGTATAGTCAATAAAGCACAGGTAAACATCTTTCTGGTATTCTCTGCTTTCAGCCAAGATCCAGCTAACACATCAGCAATGATATCCCTCATTCTATAACCTCTTCTGAGTCCAGCTTGAACCTCTGGAAGTTTTCTGTCAATGTATGTTTACAGCCATTTTTGTATTGTCTTCAGAAAAATTTTACTTGCATGCAATATTAATGATATTGTCTGATGATTTCTGCATTCCATTGGGTCACCTCTCTTTGGAATGTGTGCAAGTCTGGATCTCTTCCAGTTAGTTGGCCAGGTAGTTATCTTCCAAATTTCTTGGCATAGGTGAGAGTGTCCCTCCAGTGCCACATCAGTGTGTTGAAAGATTTCAATTTGTATCCCATCAATTCCCATTTGCCAATGCCTTCAATACGCCTTGGACTTCTTTCTTCAATATCATTGGCTTTTGATTACATGCTGCCTCTTGAAATGGTTGAATGTTGACCATTTCTACTTGGTACAGTGATTCTGTGTATTCCTTCCATCTTCTTTTGATGCTTTCTGCATCATTCAATATTTTTCCCATACAAAATATTGACCTAGAGGAGATGCTCAGTAATGTTGTTTTTTTCATAGAGAACAATCTAATGATTCACTGAGGCCAAGGATTGAAAGGTGAAGAATCCATACTGTTGGAGTCTCCAAGGGGATTCCTACATTCAACCCTCCTCTCTCTTCCCTATCCAGATTCTGAGCACCTTGGAAAATAATATAAAGAGCAAAGATTAAGGCCAAAATATCACTTATGTTATTGGCTGGAGTCATGCTAGAGGACATGGATCTTAGGTCCAAAAGTGATTGCACCCTTCCAAGACTGAGACTCAAGGGGAATACATGAGCAGGCATGTGGTCTTGCTGGTGACCACGTTTGTCTACCAATAAGAGGAAGTGGGGGGAAAACAGCAATGAAGCTGTGAGCTAAGTCCGACCACATTCAACAGACTCCTGTCAACCTGGGTTAAGACCTGGTTGGCCAGCAGTATGGCGAGACCTGGGGACTCCTGGGCCCAGGGACATGACCACAGAAGACTAGAGCAGAGAGTTAAACATCCAGCTGATATGAAGTGAGGGGAGATGCACAATAACACCCAGACTTGCAGATAGTACCCACTTGGATTCAATGGCTGGACGATCAGAACTTGACTAGAGGAAGAAAGAAGAGGAAAAAAGGAGTAATATGCTACAATTTGAGAAACTTGACTTGTACTTATGGATGTAGTAGCTCAAAAGAGGGAATGAATTGTTATAGCAAGGATCATTCCCACCCCCTCAGTACACAGAGTTGACAGGGATGGGCAATTTAGACATTGTCTACCCAAAATGGGGGGACTACAAAGGCACGAAGTGGCTGGCTTACAATTTTCAAGAGGGAACCTAATTCCAGAGGGTGCGGTGAAAGGTAGAATCTCCACTGAATGGTTTCCAACATGTCTGGATGGGGCTGATGAAAGGAAATGGGGATAAGACTTTTGTGGTTCAATAATTGTGGTGAATAATTGCTATCAGGACTGACTGTGAGGGTTGGAAATGTAAAAGTAGACATTTTGTAACAAAAGGAGGG